GAACACTCTGAAACATTCTCAGCTTCCCAGGAAGCATACAGTGCAAGCAGCTGATTAAGTGCTCAAACACTAACAAACTGACAAGATCTTTCGCTGCCTATAGCCGGGTACCCATTCCCACCTGGGTGAAGTGAGGAAAATTCGTGTAAAGTGTCTTTCCCAAGGACACAACGTCGGGCCCCTGACGGGATTCGAACCCACGACCTTACGGTTGCGAGTCTGAAAGCCTAATCACTAGGCCACCGACATTATTAATAATTGGAGGAAGGAAGAAAAAGATATTCAGAAGAAATTATTGCTATATAATATGTGATGGGAAGAATGAAGAAAGGAAATTATTAACGGTGGGAGGAAGGAAGAAAGAAGTATTGAGAGGAAAACGTTTTTTATGGAAGGAATAAAGAAAACAAATTGTTGATGATGGGAGAAATGAAGAAAAAAATTTGTGATGATGATGATGATGATGATGATGATGATGATGATGATGATGATGATGATGATGATGATGATGATGCAACAACAACAACAACAACAGCAACAACCACGGCAAGTACTCACCTGTACACGTCTGCTTGTCAGCGTTGAGTATGTATCGCGGGGCACAGGAGCACACAGGCCCGTTCACTGTCTGGTTGCACACGTGTTGACATCCGCCGTTACCATGGAGACAGCTCCCTAAGTGGAGAGGAGGGAGTGAGGAGGAGGGAGTGGGGAGGTGGGAGTGGGGAGGAGGGAGGGAGGTGAGGGAGTGGGGACGAGGGAGTGGGGAGGAGGGAGTGGGGAGGAGGGAGTGGGGAGGAGAGAGCAGGGAGGAGGGAGTGGAGAGGAGGGAGTGGGGGAGGAGAGGGAGTGTGGAGGAGGGAGTGGAGAGGAGGGAGCGGGGAGGAGGGAGTGGAGAGGAGGGAGGGAGGTGAGGGAAGAGGTGGAGGTGAGGGAGGAGGCAGGAGAAGGGGGGGTAGAGAGGAGGGAGTGGAGAGGAGGGAGTGGGGAGGAGAGGGAGGAGGTAGGGGGAGAGAGAGAGAGAGAGAGAGAGAGAGAGAGAGAGAGAGAAATATTGTAATTCCTAAACGATATCTACTCTTTCAGAGATCCATCCATCCATCCATCCATCCATCCATCCATCCATCCATCCATCCATCCATCCATCCATCCATCCATCCATCCTTCAATAAAAGGACCCATTCATTCAATTGCATTCATCCATCCATCCTCCTATCCTTAAATGTAGTTATCAATCCATCAAACTACATATCCACCCATCCCGATACAGGAAGTTGTCGTCGTCAACAGATGGGGGATGTGATAAAGACGAACTCTTCAGTCAGTGAAAAAAACCCAAACGTGTTCGGATGAGGAACCATCTTATCTTCATTCTCAGAAAGTTAATTCACATCACTAGGGAAAACTGCATAAAGACTTACGCTGTCCAAAGTTTTGCAGTGATAAATCAGGTCATGGAATGTAATTTAGTTTTTATTTATTATTTCATGTTTTAATACTTCTAGGGCAAGAACTCTTTCAGTCAGGAGTGCGTGATCTAAGACATCAGTGTGTATACTGCTATGACAAGAACTCTTTCCATAAGAGTGCGTGATCTAAGATATCATTGTGTATACTTCTATGGCAAGAACTCTTTCCCTCGTCAGAGTGCGTGATCTAAGCCCTCAGTGTATATACTTCTATGGCAAGAACTCTTTCCATTAAAGAGCGTGATCTAAACCATCAGTGTGTATACTTCTATGACAAGAACTCACGTAAGCAGCGTTTCCCGTCCCCGTGAAGGAAGTAGCCATCCCTGCAGTAACACTCCACTTTGTTCCCCACCGTCTTACAGCCGTGGTCACATTGGTGCCTGGTCTTGCAGTACTGACCATCTGTGGACGGCACCATACAGGCAAGGAAGATGCGGCCATGAAAAGGAGGATGTCAAACATAAGTTTGAACGTCCAGGAACAATGGCAATTCGAATGGAGGTATTTGTACGAGTGGAGGTGCCGCTAAGCATATTGACAATGGAGCCGAAAAAGAGCCTCGCTCTCGCTCGAAGATTTCTTCGTGGAGTCCGCCAGGCCCATTAAGGAAATAAAAAACAATCATCATCATCATCATCATCATCATCATCATATCATTCTTCTTCTTCTTCTTCTTCTTCTTCTTCTTCTTCTTCTTCTTCTTCTTCTTATTATTATTATTATTATCATACTCACAGACACATCGTTTTCCGGAAGTGTCGAGAGAGTAACCATGGTTACAACGACACTCAAAGCTGCCGAGGGTGTTCACGCACTGGTGGGAACAGCCGCCTTTACTCTCGAAACACTCGTTCTTGTCTGGGGGAGGGAGGGAGGGGTGAGGGGGGAGAAAAGGGAGGGAGGGAGAGGGGGTAAGGAGGGAGTGGAGAAGAGGGAGAGGGGGAGAGGAAGGGAGATGGAGTGAGTGAGGAGGGAGGGAAAGGTGAGGAGGGGAGGGAAGGGGGTGAGTGGGTGAGAGGGGAGGGAGGAGGGAGGAGGGGAGAGAGAGAGACAGAGATATTAGAGAGGGAGGGAGGGGGAGAAGAGGGAGGGGAGAGAAAGAAAGAGGGTGGGTGGGGGAGAGTATTATTATTTCAAGAGTGTGAATGGAATATAACATTGCAATTCCTAAACGATATCTACCCCTTTAGATATTCATCCATCCATCTATCCATTCATCTATCGATCTATCCATCCATCTATCCATCCATCCTTCTATAAATAGATCCATTAATTCTATAGCATCCATCCATCCATCCATCTATCCATCTATCAATAAATGTAGTTATCCATCCATCCATCCATTCATCCATCCACCTACCCATCCATCCATCCTCCTATCTATAAATGTAGTTATAAATTCTTCAGACTACCTATCCACCCACCCACCCATCCATCCACCCATCCATCCACCCACCCACCCATCCATCCACCCATCCATCCACCCATCCATCGATCTACTATTTTGGGCGCTACTCAATGGAGTGGCAACCGGGTGTGTTTTCTTCGTCCTGTTGTTATGTGCTCAGATGTACTCCTATCTGGGTGTGCAAAAAACAAGCGCGTGTGTATGCGGGTGAGCGTGTGTTAGTTTGTGTGAATGTGTGTGTGTGTGTATGTGTGTGTGTGTGTGTGTGTGTCAGTGTGTGTGTGTGTGTGTGTGTGTGTGTGTCTCTCTCTAAGTGTGAGTGTGTGTGTGTGTGT